TTTCAACCGCTGCTTGCGTCCTGAGTGACTTCCGGTCGCTCCGTCTTTGCAAGCCTGTCGAGTTTGCTTATGCTACCAGTGCGAGAAAACATAAATGCTACATGGACAACAAAGTTGAAGATTTAGCGAGGGCCTTCGGCTGTACGATTTAACGTCTTGGAGGAGACAAGTTGGTTTGTAAGAATATTCGAAAATTTGAGCAGACCTCGCGCTTCTTGGTTCTTTTGGCGTTCACCTGGAGAATTGGTGGTTAAATGTTTCAGTGACCTTTGAAGCAGCGGTGTTAAGGTGGGTTTTGTTCACTCTTTTTGTGAACTGGCAGTTCGCTGGGATGTGAAAGACTGGAGCACCGCCTGGTGGCGTTTGCAAAGAAAAGGGTCAATAGACACTTGCAAGCATAACGCCACGACTGATGCCCCATGTGTGCAGGCACGTGAAGCGCGCGCGGGAGCGTAGCTTTGGCAAGCTTGCATTTGCACGAACTCGTCCGCACGACATGGCGGCGTCCTGTCACCCCCCTTGCAATCGATGGCGGCGCCTTTCTGGAAAAGATATATAAACGATTGCAAGGAGGGCGACTGGCCGCCGCCTTTCTCGGGTCGTGTCTTGCGCGTTCTCACAACAAATGATGGAACCTGGCGGTACTTCTAAAGGCTGGTTCACACAGCTCTGTTTTACTGCGTTACGTTGTGGTACGTTACGGGAGCTTAAGTCTGCTAACGACGAGAGTCACCGGGACATCTCTACCTCGTGCGAAGCATGGCAACCAGTTTAAGGAGCAACTTTGCATGCGACATTCGAAGCACAGGTGTCCCGGTAATACATAGCATAACGTAAAAAAAAAAAGCCAGAGTTACGCGTTTATCCTCGGTGGGTGGCCGTAGCGCCGGCTTTCCAGCACAGACCTGGATTTTTCGCTCCTCACGTGATCGATCTCAGCGAGTAGCGGCGCCGCGCGCACCGCCGCGCATGGAAAACAGGAAAGGAGGAGGAAGCAAAAGCAGGGTAACAAACGCCGGGGCGCGTGCAACGTCGGCGAAGCGACAGTATCGGTGGCTTTCCTGCACGGCGCTGGATCCTTTGCTCCTCGCGTAATCGATCTTGACGCTAAGCGGCACGGCTGCACGTGGAAAACAGACGCGCAACTCTGAATCCCGTAGAGTAAAATGTGTTGATGGTGCCCCCTAACGGTTTACGTCATGACCAGGTTTTAAGCGATGGCGTTAAGGAGCTCGTGTTGTAGAAAAGCCCGCGTCACCGTCGGCGTCGGTGGCGTTGTGACGGGAAAATCCTGATTGGTCGACAGGGTCATGACGTCACTGTCACGTGACCTGACACTGGAATTTCAAACAACTCAACGCTCACGTGAAGTCACGCGTGAAATGAAAGTGATTAAAAAACATGACATCTAATGCCAATTAAAGGTCGCCGCATGTCTCAAATGATATCACTTGATTAAGTAATTAATTCGTTTTAAAGAAAAAAATTGATGAATTTTAGACGGGATTCGAACTTCGATAAGCTAGCACGGTTTTGAAACGAGCGGGAGTTTATATGTTTAGCTATCGCGTTCCACTCTTAAGCCGAAGCTTCAAAGGGGTACTCCGGCCATTTTTTGAGCTACCTCAACTAACTATATTTACAGAATCAGCGGACTTTACTCTTTCCGGTTTGCTATTTAGTATCGTGAAATTCAGAATAGTTATTCTGAACTCGGCTGGTAAAAATGATGCCACAACCAACATTCAAATATGCCTGCGCTTTTCAGCGGCGTGACGTCAGGGGAAGGCAGGCTTGCAGGTCGAGCAGGCAGTCGAACATTGGACTATGCCGAGCATTTGCTTCGTGCCGCTGCGCGGGTGCTGGAGCCAGCTTCCATAGCATTCATCTGACACCACGAAACGGCTTGTGATCACTTGAGAACAAGGTCTACGGTTTAAACATTGAAGCCCTGCCTTTCCCTGACGTCACTTTTCAATTGTTGCCAGTAGAGACTTTCACTTTGAAAAACACAGTGAGGACCAAAATTGTAAATTCGGTAAATTCGCAAAAATAAAAAAATGGCCCAATAGTTGGTTTACTATTTCGGCGACATTCCTTAGTGTGTTTAGCAAATTTTCAAGCAAATCGGGGACTGCGAAGAAAACGCCGATTTGAGCGTCCTGTTTTCCCTCAATGGTTGTGATCACTGCTAGCTACTGTCCCCTGCGACCGACATTTTCGATGGTGTGCACGATGGAAGCTCGTAGTCATAGCGAACTTTGTAGCAACACCGTCAAAGCTGACATACTGACATTGCATTTATTTCCACCGATGAAAGTAAATACGTTTTATTGAAAACGTAGCTCCCGGCCGATTGTGGCAGGCCTACCGCAGCGACGCTTTGGTCGCGCACGTTGCATATAGTGAAACTGATTAGAATCAAGGAATCCACCATTTTTAAGAATCGCCGGTTCGGGCAGTTCTTGGTACGGAGCGAACCCGCACTCCACTGCGAACGCGGGCACGAGTCTCTCGCTTGAAAATCTTTCATGGTCGCTGCTTAGCCTTGCGGAGTTATGGAACCACAAACTTAAGAATCATGGATTAGTCAGAATATTTATAGAGTAAGTCGTTCTGAGGCGGCCAGTTCACCCACGAACGAGCTTGGGAACGGTTGGGCCGAATGGTTATTAATTCGCGGCATCTGATCCGTGATCGTGGAAGACTGTCTTTAAATATGGTTGGGGGGGGGGGGGGGGGGGGGTGGAGAGAGGACGAGTTTAAGCGGTGCAACCACATCTTAAGGTGGTCCAAAGAGGCAGCCGTGGTTTCGTTTTGAAACGACGGGTTCGTCTACGAACAATTCGCCGATGCCGTGCGCACTCCATATAAAAGAAAAAGGTTTGCCACCTTGCGATGCATTTCGCCGTATCGGACCGGTGGAGCATTGAGAACGCCATCGCTGGGTCCAGATTGCTGCTGGCGTATTTTAAAAAAACGCAAATATTTCTTCGAGCATTATTACCTACTCTCTTTATGCTTCATTTTTGCTAGAAACCACCGGTGACAGGCATCACATAAACGAAAACTAAAAGTTGTTATTGTGGACAACTGAATTTTGACCAAAGACGCAAGTAAGGAATGGACGAAGACATGGCTGAATTAAAGTTGTTACCAGTTTTTAGTAACAGCGGTGTACCTTCGTTCATTTATTTGTTCCAGTCTTCGCAAAAATCCAGCTGTCCACAACAATGAACAAACCAAGCTCAACTAAACACATAACAAAACCTTAAAACAGATGCTTCTCTTCAACTAGTCTGAAGACGAATTTCAAATGCCGCTAAACATGCACTTCGAGAGTCATGTATATACCTGTTTGAAATAGACCATTTCCTGATTTTCCAAGCGCCCCGGCCCGCACTCGAGGAATCGTGGGAACGGTGTTCCTCCAGCTCCCTCGTGATTGGTAATTTCGACCAATTTCATAATTACACAGTTTCGAGCAAAATTTGGAGTCACCCTAAACAAGTGCCTTATATAACCCAAGGACCTGACATATCACTTTAAAAATTTCTCGTCAATGTCAGCGTTTTTTATACTGTGCGTAAGTGATACCGTGCATAAGTGTAGTTTTCACGGCTTTTCTAAAACAAATCTGTTGAGCTTTGGGAAAAGAAAAAAAAAAAGCATTGTAAAGAAGTTCCGTTCAGAAATTTAATATATCCTAATGACAACCTCATACAAGACTATAAAAAAGCAACACCGTCAAAGCTGACATACTAACATTGCATTTATTTTTACCGAAGAAAGCCAAATACGTTTTATTGAAAACGTAGCTCCCTGTTGGATTCAGAACCACACATATTATGCATCGGTAGCATTTCGCAGTAATAGAATGGGTAGCATTCGACACTTCGAAAGTTGATTTTTTGCGTTAAAACTTCAGTATAAAACTTGAACTACAAAACTTGAGTTATGAATCTGCGCTACATTGAACCCCCTACTAGGACGGTAGTAGCTGTGACGTCAGAACACTTTACCGACACACACTCGGGCCCTGTTTACATGACGCAGAAGTGCAAGCCTGATCCGGAGACACTATTATTATAAGTTTCGGTAATTCCGATCGCAGTGAAGGCTGCCAGACATCGCAACTTCAGAGGACAATGATCGTGTCTAATGGTCAAACAATTCTGAATGCTTTAACGAGATGATCCAGACGGCAGTCAATCCTAGCCTCCCCTGAATTCGTCTTTGGAACTTCGCCGTTCAATTCCTACCGGTAAACTTATCTTCGGATGTTTTGTGGCAATAGGCCTATTGCTAATTATCCAAGCATCAAGGACAATGCTGGAAATGTAGGTGTACGCGCCGCACGCGCTCTCCTTCTCCACATAAAATACTTGAAGGAAATAAGCAAGGCATTCACAAACGCGCGCATAAGATGCCATTTGTTTTAGGCATTTGCTTTAAAAGAGTTACAGCTGCAGACACCAGCGACGCCAGCACGTGGAGCACCTAGACCTACATCCCCAGCATAATCCTTGATGCTTGCGTAATTTAGCAACAAGTCCATATCTGTATATGCCAAGGATCCATATAAGGTAGGATGACGTCCAGCTGCCTAAATCAGCTTGGTAATTGATCGCGCTTTCGCACTTGTAAGCGGCTCAGCGATTACAGGTCGTTGCACTTTCAACACAAAACAGTGAGAGTAGGATCGCTAAGGTAGCCAAATATAGTGATATGCAACCAAGGTCTAAAATTTTTACACCTAAATTTAAGGTAGACCTTGCTGAAGGAAAGAAAAACCGCGACCATCCGCGGATAACCAACAAAAGACAGCAAAAGTCTCAATTAAAGAAAAGTGGGCCAACTTTATTGTAGCACACGCAATGTTGAACGGACTACGACCGTAGGAGCAACAAAATATGTAATTAGTTTAAAGTAAAATAAAAACAGCAGCACAAAAGTCGCGCAATCATAAAAAACTCGCTAAAACCTTGAACAGCCAGGCGTTACAGACGCGAAGTGCAATACTCCCATTCCGTGCTCTCGAACGTGACAGTGGCCGGAGAGAAACAGAGCTGCGCCGACTGCACCGAAACGCTTTCAAGTTCCTGGTGAACATCTGCAATAACTGAAGTTTCGCCAAGTGCGCCAGGACTTACGGTCGTAGGCGCTACCGGCGCTGCGCGGCAGTCGACATCCTCGCGGAGAGACTCGGGCGCCGAGACTACAATGGGTATGCCCGCCATACCAAGCACTCTCACGTCGGGGTTCGCCTTCTGCCATTTCTTCCAGGTCTTCCGGTGGAACCTGAGCATGAGGAGGCTCCAACCGGCGTACACGAGTAAAAGCATGACGGCCAGGGTCGTCAGACCGACGGCTGCCCACAGCCTGGAATCGAGGACCTGATGCACAGCACCCTGCAAGCACAAGATGCCGCACAGGCACGCCAAGGGCGTTAACATGGCGAAGCAGAAGAAGTCCCCGATGACACTCCGCCGGACGTTCCGGTGAGACCCCTGCAGCCATTCGCAGAAGCCCCGCTGTCGCCGCTGCGTGCTGAAGCGGTAATGGCAGATTTCGCACTGGTCGCCTCCGCTCGCGCTCAGCCAGTGCTCCAGGCAGACCAGGTGGACGAGTCCCATCGTACCGGCACACGTGCAGGGAGACAGCAGGGGCCACTTCTGGTCACCCTCGTGGCAGATCCTGCAGATGGGGCCGCTGCTCGTCGTGACGTTCAGGGGACTCAAAGGCGCCCGCTCCTCTGGAGAGCACGGAAGCGAGCCCGGCAAATTGCCGAAGAAAGCGGACGGCGACCAGGACAGGGAGCTCCTCCAGAAGACGACTGGCTCGTCCCCGCCGCCACTGCTGCCGGTCCTCGTAGAAAGCGGCGCCGATGAAAGTTGAGGGAAGGGCGCGTTTGGTGGCCGCAGGGGTGGCGAACGTAAAGCGTCGCACTTCTCTTTGGACATTGGGACCCGCTATGGCAAGCGTGTCGCTTGCGCGTCGCAGAAGGCTTGTGTGGCGCAACAGTGGTGACAGCAGTCCTTCAGCGCTTCGATTGCGTAGTTCACCGGGCGGCGAGTTATCACTTTAAAGTTACGCCGTTTTCGAAATTATGAATATCAGCGTGAGCGGGGTCATCTGATACGCTTATCAGTCTACCTCGAGCAATCTACTACAGAAAGCGGCGATTAAAAATAACGATACATTTATCTTTTCAGCTCATGAATGGTTGCAAAAAATGTACACACGTAGGTGTAGCGTTTTGGCCAACACAACTCACCGTGGCGGGCGGCAAACAATCGCGCTTTAGTTTAGGCAGGCTTTCGCGTTTCGCGCTGGAGCACAGTGTTTCCAGACGGAGAAAAGAAAAGTCAGCAAATCGATCCCCAAAAAGTCAGTAGATTTGCACAAAAATCAGTAGATTCCACGAAATCTGTGTTTTGCCATGTTTTTCTATTTCCATTAAACCACACTTCGATGGTCATATACACAAATAAAAATGAAAAAGAAAACAAAGAGCAAGACCAGTTTTTGAGTAATTCCCGTATACCCAACTCAAGGTTACCTGTTTTATGGAGGACAAAATAAAATAACAAGGCATTTTTTTTATATATAAGCATTGATTAGTGCTACCATTTGGAGGATTATTCTTTGAAATCGAAAAAGCCACTTTTGGGATTAACAGATGAGTGCGAAGGTGCGACATCCACCTGTCGCTATTATTGAAACTAAACCAAAACAAGACGTTCCGGCACGTACGTGCCTACATGTCCAATGGAAGTCCTCTGCAAGCTACCATCTTTCCTTACTGGGCTCTGGAAGGTTTTTGACGCAACGCTGTTGGCATGGAGCACTGTTGAGGCTACGCTTCGTCTGCTACGGGCTTATTTATTTTTCACCTGATCCAAAGTTTGCGTTCAAACCTGGAGAAACCTAATTCGTTAGCTTTTTAAGCCACCGAGGAATAACATTATATCATTTTCTTGCCACAGCCTGCCAAAAATATGGATTTCGATTTATGCATTCCGCCGGGCGAATGAATGAAAATGGCGGCCCTCTCCGCTCAGCTCGGAACAGCCGAGACTTGAGGCGCATGCGCTCACACCTCACGCTCTGCGCCGCGGGCTGATTGGCTCACTCGGGAGTGTGGTGTTACGGCGGCGATATCATCAAGTGGCCAAACTCTCCCCATATATGGCTCTGGCTAGAGCACTATATAGCTCCTATGGAGCAGAGTAGCGCAATCCTTTGAACCCCGTTTTTTGCCGACAACATGGCCGACAGAGCGGCTCGGCGCGAGTCACGTGGTACTCAGGGTTCCAGGAGGCGGCCCGCCCTATGGGAGAATACATGGAGATCGAAACAACACGGCTGATTAAAAAATGAACGGCGAGTTCACACTTTTCAAAACTAGTCTGTCGTGAAGTTAGTAAAGCACTAAATAATGTATCACAGTTTTAATAATATCGGATGCGTGTGCAAATTTTGAGAAGGCAATTTCCAAGGCAATGGCGTTTGAAGCAGACGATTTTTGCTCGCAGCGGAGATGGACTTTTCGGGTTGGCCGGAGCGGGTCACGTGAATGGTGTGACGTCGCCGTGTCGTCTGCTGCATGATGCCGCTCAGGCAAGTTTTTAAAAAAAGTCACGTCCTTGCGGGGCACAAAACTTAGCGCAAATTATTCTAAAATATACCATTATTATTTCAAAAACGATTGCCGTTCCGTACAACCCCACAATACTGAAGAAACAACGATTTTCTCACGTTCTCTATGCATTTCTGACCGCAGTTGGAACCTCCTGGCGTTCGCCGCTAGTTGCCGAGAGGCGGCGTTCTAGATTGTGCTACTCTGCTCCGAAGGAGCTATATAGTGCTCTAGCTCTGGCCAGGATGGCCAGGATGTCACCGTCGACGGGCTTCTGGGCCATCTAGCCAGTGCTTCGTTTTTAATTCTGGGAGAATATCAGTTTCCTTTGATGGGCGACCCTGGGAACCAAATAATAAATTTTAATATGTTTACTAAAAATAAAAGTCAGTGGATTTTCTTTTATTTCAGTGAATCAGTAGACCCGGAACGAAATCAGTAGATTTCCCGATAAATCAGTAGATCTGGCAACACTGCTGTAGCACCACGATGACCACGATCGATATCACCCGAAATCAAGGAGGGGCACGTTGCAATATTGGTGAAGCCTAGTCATAAAAAGTTTAAACGATGTTGTGGACAACGTGACCGTAGATGTCTCTGGCGATTGGTGCGCGTGACATGTCACGTGTGAGATGGATGGTTGATTGTAGCAGGATTCCTTGCAGGCTTGCTCGCGCTCCGTCCGGTAGGGTTTATCAGGTCGAAGGCTAGACTGTGGTATATTCTAGTACCCCATTGCTAGACGAAGGCTAGCTACGGTAGCTACGGTCACACGATGTGGTCACGTTGGCCTGGTAAGTGAGGAGGAAAATGAGAAAGAGGCGAGGCGTCAAAGGAGCATGGCTTGTGGAGGCTACGCGGCTGGCGTCATGCCCTCTCCTACCCTTCTATCCTCCTTGCCCGAAATGGCCCTAAACGCGTGGCGCCCGGCACCGTGAATAAGCATTCAGTGGTCCAACTCAAGCAAGGAGGATAGAAGCGTAGGAGAGGGCATGACTAGAGCACTATATAGCTCCTACGGAGCAGAGTAGCGCAATCCTTTGAACCCCGTGTTTTGCCGACAACATGGCCGACAGAGCGGCTCGGCGCAAGTCACGTGGTACTCAGGGTTCCAGGAGGCGGCCCGCCCTATGGGAGAACGCATGGAGATCGACACAACACGGCTGATTAAAAAATGAACGGCGAATTCACACTTTTCAAAACTAGTCTGTCGTGAAGTTAGTAAAGCACTAAACACTTTATGAAAGTGTTAATAATATCGGATGCGCGTGCAATTTTTGAGAAGGCAATTTCCAAGGCAATGGCGTTTGAAGCAGACGATTTTTGCTCGCAGCGGAGATGGGCTTTTCGGGTTGGCCGGAGCGGGTCACGTGAATGATGTGACGTCGCCGTGTCGTCTGCTGCATGATGCCGCTCAGGCAAGTTTTTAAAAAAAGTCACGTCCTTGCGTGGCACAACACTTAGCGCAAATTATTCTAAAATGTTCCATTATTATGTCAAAAACAATTGCCCATTCCGTACATCCTCACAATACTGAAGAAACAACGATTTTCTCACGTTCTCCAAGCATTTCTGACCGCAGTTGGAACCTCCGGGCGTTCGCCGCTAGTCGCTGAGAGACGGCGTTCTAGATTGCGCTACTCTACTCCGAAGGAGCTATATAGTGCTCTAGGCATGACGACAGCCGTTTAACCTCCACAAGGTACACAAGCCATGCTCCCTTGACGCCTCGCCTTTTTCTCATTTTTCTCCTTACTCTCCTCACTCACCACGCCAACGTGACCACGTCACGTGACCGTAGCTAGCCTTCGTCTAGCTATAGGGTACTAGAATACACCACAGGCTAGCCTTCGACCTGATAAAACCTACCGGACGGAGCGCGCGCAAGCCTGCAGGAGTCCTACAATCAACCATCCATCTCACACGTGACATGTCACGCGCACCAATAGCCAGAGAGATCTGCGGTCACGTTGGCCACAACATCGTTTAAACTTTTTATGACTAGGCTTCACCAATATTGCAACGTGCCCTCTCTTAGTACTTCTAACCTCCTTGCACTCAAGACACCTTCCGGTAATTGGGCGTTAGGCAGCGCCCCTCGCCACATATCACGAACCAAACACTTTTTATGTTTCTGATTTCTTGTTACAGAACGCCGTGTAAAAGTAATCGTTATATAACAAAGTCATTACACCAGTAATGATAATTTTTAAAAATATAAGAGACCCGATTTTTCTGGAAGGAATAAAAGAATGCTTGACCTAAAACCGTTACACGGTTACCCAGGGTTAGGACCAACGAGAGGAGTCGAGGCGCCGGGCGCCGGGCTACCGGCTGCTGCGGAGATTGAGGAGTACACTTGCGTTTTTGGCTTTTAAATTCGAAGCATTCGAAGCTGATAATAAAGCACCCGCTGAGAAGCTGGTAATTTGTCTATTCTAATTTCTTTTATTGCATATAGTGTTGTGTTATATATTATACTTCGCTTCTCTGAAAGTCGCCCTTTCCGTGGCAAATATCGCTGAGGAACTCGCCATGCACAGACTCGTGTGCGTTAAATTGAAACAAGGTAGCGGTGTATTCTAAACGTGTGTATATTAAGTTTTGTGAGGTGCTGATTTCCCTCCTTGCATCGATGAAGCTAGTGCCGAATCGTCTTTCTATTCGGATTCATGAAGAACAAAGTTGCCGCGGCTTTGCACATGCATAGAGAGGCTCGAAACTAATGCAGCCCAAACGAAACTGAAGAAATCGCTGTGCGTACTCCAGCGTCGCAAGTTCCGATTTAGACTTTACTGATCGCGTTCATTTTAATGTGTTCTCAAGTGGGGCTTTTGAAATAAGGGCACCCAACTAGTGAAAACATGTGCGATCGTTCTGACAGGTACAAACCCTAATTTAAATCGTGTTATGTTTTTTTTTTTTTGTTTTTTTTAACTGCGTTTAAAACGGCACTATGTCTCCTTGTTAATTGGTGTTCGGGAATAAATAAATGTTCACACCAGCTAGAAAAAACAAGGATGTTGCTGTTCAAACTCTCTCGCATCTTCTGTTCATGGTATTAGTCCGCACAGAACGAAGAGGGAGAAATTTATCATTTAAGAAACCTTCTACGACTCGCCATTTGATCCATGCCCTAGATCAGTAAAAGAGCTCCGAGAAAAAAAGAGCTCCGAAAATATTCTCCAAACCTAGACATGCTTGCGTCAAGGTCTGGCCACACGTCCACAAAGTCGAACCGGTCGAATCTGGTTAAAAGTTCGAAGGTTCGTCGAACCGGTTCTACCCAGTCGAACCCCGAAAGTTCAACCTAAAAAT